TGTATCCTTGTCCCTAGTGGCCACGGAGTGCGTTAAACATTAAACATCAGATTGTATCTTTGTCTCTAGTGGCCACGGAGTGCATTAAACATCAGAGTGTATCCTTGTCCCTAGTGGCCACGGAGTGCGTTAAACATTAAACATCAGATTGTATCTTTGTCTCTAGTGGCCACGGAGTGCGTGAAACATTAAACAGGTTTTTTTTTTCTTCTTCTTCATTTAATTACTATACATACTGCAGATGTAAAACCGGCTGCATTTCCTAATTCAAGTCAATATCCGGCTCTGGGACTTCTTCTTTTCTATGTTTTACTTCCCCTACTCTACATTTGGTATGAAGTTACTGTTTATAATATGATATAAAAGTGTCTAGATACGTTCAAAAACATGAGAAGAATGACATTACAACATCAGGAAGACTTGTGGAAAAAAGACAGTAACAGAAGAACTTAAGTTGACTAACAACCGTTAAATTAGTAACAGAAGAACTTAAACATACTCACTATCGTTTCGTTAGTAACAAAATAGCTTGACTAGACTCACTACCATTAAGTTAGTAACAAAATAACTTGACTAGACTCACTACCGTTAAGTTAGTAACAGAATAACTTAACTATACTCACTATCGTTAAGTTAGTAACAGAATAACTTAACTATACTCACTACCATTAACTTAGTAACAGAATAACTTAACTATACTCACTACTGTTAAGTTAGTAACACAAGAACTTAACTAGACTCACTACCGTTAAGTTAGTAACAAAATAATTTAACTATACTCACTACCGTTAAGTTAGTAAGAAAATAACTTGACTAGACTCACTACCGTTAAGTTAATAACAAAAGAACTTAACTAGACTAACTACCGATAAGTTAGTAACATAAGAAATTAACTAGACTAACTACCGTTAAGTTAGTAACAAAATAATTTAACTAGACTAACTACCATTAAGTTAGTAAAAAAAGAACCTAACTAGACTAACTACCGTTAAGTTAATAACAAAAGAACTTAACTAGACTAACTACGGTCAAGTTAGTACCAAAATAACTTAACTATACTCACTACCGTTAAGTTAGTGACACAAGAACTTAACTAGACTAACTACGGTCAAGTTAGTACCAAAATAACTTAACTATACTCACTACCGTTAAGCTAGTGACACAAGAACTTAACTAGACTAACTACGGTCAAGTTAGTACCAAAATAACTTAACTATACTCACTACCGTTAAGTTAGTAAGTCAGTAACAGAAGAACTTGACTATACTCACTACCGTTAAGTTAGTAACAAAATGACTTAACTATACTCACTACCGTTAAGTTGGTAACAAAATAATTTAACTAGACTAACTACTTTTAAGTTAGTAATAAAATAACTTAACTGTACTCAGTTACGTTAGGTTAGTAACAGAATAGCTTAACTATACTCACTACCGTTAAGTTAGTATCAGAAGAACTTAACAAGACTCACTACCGTTAAGTTATTATTTTAGTAACAGAGAAACCTAACTAAGCTACATTTTTTAGAAAGAAAGGAGAAAAAGTTATTAATTTATCTCAAATTTTAAATAATCAATTACAAACAAGATAATGTTTCACATGATGTCAAATCATAATAGTTATCAATAGAAACTAACAATTACAAATAAAACTAAGAAGTGACTAAATGAACAATACAATTATTTCAGAAAGTATGTTTTTTTTTTTACTTAATTTTAATTTATCACAGACATTACATAATAAATTACCCACAATAATTAATTGCACATAGTCAAACTCTCCATGTTCATGCCAATTATTATGTAATTACTAGTAATGCATTTTCAATTCTTTATTAAGTATTCCACAAAGAAACTGTGTAACAAACTTTGTAGAAGATTACTCTCTATCAGTTTATTCAAACTTATTAAATATATATGTATATTAAGTAGAATTACAATAAATGTATTATATGTACAGTAGAAACATTAGGGAAAGATAACTGCTATAATAAAATGACTGGAAGAGACATACATTAGAAAAACTAATGAAACACAATTATTGTAATAACATGACTGAAAAAAGTTGTAAGGTAGAAACACTAATAAAAGACAATTACTTTAAGAATTCGATACACAAAGGCTGAAGATTGTAGTTGCCTTCAGTGTTGACACCAGCAGGTTCATCCGTAAAGTGCCACCTATCAATTGAAGTTTTGGCCCTCTAAAACTAAGTACTTCCTCAAGGAATGGACTTGCTCAGCTTTCCAGATGGACATGCTTTCTTCACTTCATCTGTAGAGTACCTACTCTTCTGAACATGCTTTGATCATATCCATGATAAGCCTGATTCAGCTGCGCTTCTGCACAGTCCTCTCACTGCACTCTCCTGAATCCTAAGTCTCGCATTCACTCATGAAAGGAAGCTGCAATGAAACTTTGGTAGCCAACTTGAAATGGATAGCTTGCTCCTTTCCATCCTCTATCCTTACAAATAGACCACAGTTCAACATATTTGGCAAAATTCTGTTCATGAGCTTCCTGGATCTTATCCTCCAATGATACAGCTCCCCAAAGATCACTTTCTGCCAAATAGCTGACCAGATAACAATATCCAGCCAGAGGTTAATGACTGTAATTTCAAGTGGAAAATTTCCATCCCCTTGAAGATCTGCTGATATCTTCCAGTCATTTGCATAGGAAAGTATGCTGCTTCTCTGTGGATTGCTGCTGTAACTTCCTGGCCCAAGACCCTCTTTGATGAAGGTGATGAACTGTCTGGAGCCAGTTGATACCTCTTCTTCATTAGCCTTCTGCTCTGTCTCTGACTGCATCAACAATTATTCAGACTACCTTGTTATGATGCGAGGTGTACATGTCACCAGATAAATTTGATGGGCATGAACTCAGGATATGCTGTAACATTTCCTTTCTACCACAACCATGTCATAAATCTGACTTGTGATCATACCAAATACTTAAGTTGGATTATGTAGGGAGCAAATCATATGTAGATCTCTAGAGGACTGAAATTCTAAGTGGCCCTATCCTCCATAGCACATTCCACGATAAAGTCTGGTGCTGTATAGATTCCCTGCTTATCTAAGCACCCTCTTTGGCCTGTCCAACTTCTTTGGCTAGTCTTTTTATTTTCCTCCTTAGCTTCTCAAATCTCATAAGAAATTAACTCACATCACCTTCTTCAGTTGACTCACTTTGTACTTTGTGTAATTTTGTGTGTTAACAGTGGCATTAATTTGACTTTTAAAGCTAATACTAAAATACTTATGTCTGTTTTGAATTGTATATGAAAAACAGAAATTACAAAACAATGAAGCTTTCTTTTTTTTATGTAATAGACTGGTTTATTAAATGTTAGGCATGACCAAATCTAATAATTTTGGTGGGTTTGAGAATTAGTACACAAAATATTAGAATATATCATGATATTATGCAACCCATTAGCAGCTAAGAAACAGACTAGTAAAGAATTACTAAATGACTGTTTTCATTCTGTACTTTCATCAATAGTTTATTTGTTCCTATAGAATTTTATTTGAAAATCCAAAGTTTTAGAAAACCCCATATTGTTTCTTATATTTATTAGAAAAATATTCAATTCAGTTTGTCATTGTTTGGATGTTTTGAAAAAAAAGATAATTACATACCTTTTTGAATCAGTATTAAATTCTTTTAACTTGTACTTCTTGTAGCTTTGAAAAAATCACTATCAATATTGGTAACAGATAAAACTACACTTGTAAGGAAATGCTTAAACATACCCAAAGTCTAGAACAGTTAAATTCATGTATACTCACAGACATCCTATGGAAGTTTAAAATATACAAGAAATATCAACTATTGTAAGAGAAATCATTTTAAAGAAATGGTTTGAGGAATAACCAATTGACAGAATTGCAGAAAACTATGTAATCATCGTTTGTGTTTGTTTCACTTTGTATCTTGATACATTGAAAGCTAATGGGCTCATGTTCATCAAATATTTTCCACTTAGAATATTACTTTGATTGTCTGTGCATACTTTTATCTGGTGATTACTGGACCAAGTTAGACATAATTCTCTATTTTACATAAGAACACAAAAAAAATGTAATTATTTGTTACATAGTAAGTGTTTAGGGTGAGTTTTTACTTTATGTATATGTATGTTAATTTCTTACTTCACTGACAGAATAAAGCCTTCCATTTGAAACTAAAATTACAACATTTATGGCATTGTGGTATGTATCTTTTAGGTGATTGAATTGGTTGGGAAGGACAATGTGAAAGTTGGTGGATCCCAAATGAGAGAGATTATAGAGCTGTTAGTGAAAGAAGAAATCTTACAAAAGGCTGAAAGAGAAGAAAAGGGAAAGAAACAAAAACCTGAACTGGAAACTAAAATACAGGAATAAAAGTGCAGGAATGAGTGATTCCCAGTAACTATAGTTTCATAAGATAAAAGTTTAGTTTAAGAAAAATGAAAAATACAAAACTCCTCTAAAAATACATGTTTCAGACAAAAAAACTTGCTGATAGAATTATTTTGGAAGAAAACAGTTCTTCAGAGAAGTATGTGTTCATTCTCCTAAAAGTATTTATGAGTTTCAGATGATAAGATGATAGTTAATTTTTAAAAAATCAGTATCTGTATTATCTTGTTTAATTTTAAACATAAACCATTATTTTCATGAAGCTTTAATGAAATGATTTTTAATACAAATTATTATTGCATTTTTGTATACATTTTTTTAGTATTTGGGGTATTGTAGAAAGTTCATGGGGTAAGTCCTGTGAGGTTCTTTACAATCTATTTTAGTTTTGTGTTATTATTATGTGAAGAACACAAGTCTATTATTTTTATAAGTAAGTTCTTCAGATGCCCAATAATGTATGCTTTGTAGATTAAGTTTTGCAAGCTAGCTATCCATGAGTTTATCTTTCACAGAAATTTTTCATTTTTGTAATATTATATGGTTACAGTTATTTAAAACTGGGAATGAACTTAAAAAGAGTAACTATATTAATTGGTTACTGGACTTTATGAAGATATTGTACAAATTGAGAAATTAGGTATAAATTTAAGATGTAGTAAAGCTGTTATTTTACTGAAATTCTTTATTAAAGTTTCCGTGCTTTGGGAATTCTGAAAGTGTCTTTTGTGAAATTATCCCAAAATCAGTCGTAGTTCATGTGTTGAAGTTAGAAGTACTTTGATTTTAGTAATTATTTTTTCTACATAAATTTTTTTTGTAGGATTAGTATTAGTTTTTTGTCTGTATAAAGTTCTTTTTTTTTATTACACTTTTATGATAAAACAGAATTTAAGATAATTATTACTACAAGTTCTGTCCTCCAACTGTGCCCATAGTGGCACAGCAATATTTCCATGGACTCGCAATGTTAGAAACCAGGTTTCAATACCCGAAGTGGGTAGAGCACAGATAGCCCATTGTGTAGCTTTGTGCTTAACTACAAACAAACCTCAAGCTGTTATAACTCAGTTCAAACACTATTCTACAAATTGATCTTCATCCTCTTTGTTTTGTATATAGTCATTAAATTATGAAAACAATAAAGAAAAAGCTTGTGTAACATTTTGCTCTTGTTTTGAAGAATCTGTAAAAGTATGACATTCAGTTCACCTGCTTTGAGAACACTGTCAATACAACTAAATATAAATTATGTTGTAAACAGATCGAAAACATAAAAAAAAAAATCAACTGGCTCTCTTAAAATATTCTATTTAAAGCTGATGAGTATTTGTTTAAATTTCTTTCACTCAGAAGATTTGTTATTGATTTTTAAACAGAGTGAAAAATTATATGTATGAAATTTATCACAAATTCATGTTTTAGGTATTGAAAGCTTGAAGGGATATACTACTAGTTCTGACATCTATTTTTAGCCATGACACAGTGGCTCATAGAATGGCTAAATGTTTTTTTTCTTCAAGTACAAACTTTTAGCTCATAGCACCATCTCTTGACTGATTTGTGATCTAATTACAGCCCTGGCTATTGAGGATTCTGATTCACTCTTGTTGGAACTTTTCATGGATATGGCGGTACCTATACAGACTGTTAGAAGCTCAACAGGAAAGAACATGTCCAAGTGTCATCTGTGTTATAAGTTTGAGAGGGAAAACACGTGTTCTGATATCTGTTTTGCAAACTTGTTGGGGATAGTATATGCTTTTGTATGTTTTGTGTTGAGAGTGTGTCAAGATTATTATTCTATGTGTTACCAATGTTAGTGATTTACCAGTGATATTATAGTGTATTTGGAACTTTTAAAGTAGAACACATAAAAATGGGTTGTCAGTGTTTTGAGTTTTTCAGGAATATTATTGTTTTACTTTTCACACAACCCAGGCATTAAACAGATAATATTGTTTAAACACTCTAAAGTGGACAGGTGTTTAATTATATAATAATTGTTGTACATATCTATCAAGACTGGGCATTATAATAGACAAAATTACAACTGTAATACAAATGTGCATAATTAAAAGAGATTAACTTCTTTATCGATGTTAAAATTGTAAGCTATAAGTTGCATGTATAGTAGTCATGAGTCACTTTTGTAAATAATATATGTTTTAATTTCTTTCCATACGTTGTATAAAGTCGATGCAAAAATTTCATACCCATAAAATAAAATGAGGTATAAATATGAATTGTTATCCTTATGATGTATATGCTACCTGAATTTTCAGTTCCCAAAGTTAAATTAGATCTGCACAGTTCCCTAAGCCTCGCGTTGGAAGACACTCGTCAAACGTACAACAAGGAATTCAATGAAGCAATACTTCCAAAACAACCTGAGATGGAAGAGAAGGAGCCGTTGAACCGAATATATTTTATGGATTTCAGGCTAAGACTGGAACAAGGACTAATGAACAATGGCTGATTAGCTGTCGAAACAGCCAGCAGCTTGAAAATTCACAAAGGTAGAGTGAAACAAAGTTCGCACTTGGTTTGCAAGTGGCAAGCGAAGGCGGTAGGACTTGATACGTGGTTCGCGACGTATTTTGCTCCGCCGAATATGGTTTGCGGACGAAAAAGTTTGAGAACCACTGGCCTAGATTGTACTTATAATTTTGTACCTTGTACTCCATAAAGTAAAAATAAACATGAATGAAGAAGGGAAGTGTGTGTATTCTGTTTGGACGGGACAAGTAAACGAATTAATAAACCAGGTCAACAGACTACCATGTATACGTACAGGGCCTGGCATGGCCTGGTGGTTAAGGTGTTGGATTCACAATCTGAGGGTCGCGGGTTTGGATGAATGTAATGAATTCGACGAAATGTTATTCACATACCTAATTTAGTTTAGGTTAACATATGGTGAAGTAAACCGGACTCAAAACCCCATAGACGATACATAACACAAACACACAAAGCTACTTCACAACTTAGGTCATACCTTAGAAACGCATGACGTCTGAAATTCGGTGCAACGACCATATTATAATCGACATGCTTACATACAACAAGCAGAAACCCTCAAAACACTTGCGGTCAAATTAGTATCTTTATTGCAACAGTGCTTCTTTAAATATAAGATTTCCAAAATAATACAACAAAATTCTAATTGCAGATACCGAAATTTATAAGCCCACATCTTCAACATAAGTACGGACTATATTTGATACAAGAGAGATTAACACTGTAACTTATGTACGTTTTATATATATATATATATATAGTCTGGTTCAATAAATAAACTTATAATATTATTCTGTGACCTAACGTTACATATTTTTAAAAACTTTGATAAGCTTTTTATCATATATATTGTACGAAATGTCTAGTGAAATATATTTATATCAACCTTTTAGTTACATTCATTGAAATGAAGGGCGCGCATTTTCAAGAGATAAAAAATATATTATTATTAAAAATTGTAATTTGCCACAACCCCACCGTGGAAGGAAAATGAACTATTCCAAATCAAATCGCTCGAGTTAGTGGGTTTCTTTTCAAATACTGAAAGATGGTAACAGTACTAACAAAAGTTCTTCATGAAATAGTATACTATGTTGTGATGTCAAGTTTAAATTTTCATTGAAAAATATACTTATTTATTAACCCTTTCCATATGGGGTCGTGTATAGTCATTTTTGTTTTCATTATCTTTGCTAATCTAGCCTAATTCATTTCTAATTATTACGTGTTAGTTACTTTTATAACAATAAATACGTGTTTTGAGGAATATACTCATTACAGTTTTCAAAGCAAAAATTCGGAAAAGCAGAAGTCCTAAGTATTAACAATCTTATAACAGAGTTTGCGAGGTATACGTCCAAACTCGGATCTCTGAAACTACCGCACCAATCATAACTGGGTAATATTTTTATAACTAGGCAGTATTTTTATAGCTGAACAATAAATAAAACAATTGAAATTCCCACAAAAATCATATGTTTTAGATTTAACCAATAAATGTTACAAAAAGGAGTAAATTTTAAATATAAAACAAACTTGAAAAATTATTTGTTTTTCTTTAGTGAAGATCTCATGAGTGTTGCAACAGAAAGCAAGGCACTTTCATTGATAACTGCGTCTACAAAGAAATACTTCAATGAAATATATAGTCTGTGATGATAGCTCATTTTTAAACTACAATTTCAATAAAATCCTTTTTCTCATGGATGGTGAACACTGTTGTAGAACAGTCGAACATTTCCAAAAAAGGCCGCAGGACGGGTATCTCTGCTGGTACTATTAATTCGTAGTTCAAAATTGTCGGCATGTTATTAAGATATTAACGATTGGTGTTTACTTTTTAACGTGCTGTATACAAGGTTATTTCACTTTATTGTGATTTATTTTAATTACTATTACTTGTCATATCATTTTATTGGTTTCTTTTGCTATGTTTAAAAATATAAGTCGCTGACTTTCTGAAATGAGAAAGCTAACTTCAAAGACTATCTGAAATACTGTACTCGGTAAAAAGATAAAAGCCTGGGTTCATGTGTGCTAGCAATGATTGGTGATATCAGGTTTTTATATATATCGAAAATTCGGAGGGGATAACTTCGTCGAGCACCAAGTGAATTAAAATATCACGGTTACAACCATGGTTTAAAGCTTCCTCGACGTAGTACTGGGTAGAGCATGCATGAAGTGTGTACAGTTAAGTTATATTTTAATTTTTGTTGTTCTTTTTCTTTATTTTGTTTATTAATATTTACATATAAAATTAAGTAGTTTTTTTATTTTTTTCAAAGTAAGAAACTGCAAAGATCTTGTTACGACAGCGGAAGTCACGTGATGAGTATCTAAAAGATTCACGAAGAGACGAGATGTACGCTTTTATAGTATATATATAAGACCGGCGAGAAGTGACGATATAGATAATTGAATTGCAGACAGAGATAGAGCCGGACAATTGAGTCAAGCACGGTAGTAAGAAAATGCGTGAATCGTTCGTTGTGAATTATAGCATGTGTTTAAGTTAAAGAGACTGCGGAAATTAAGTGTATTGCAAAGTTGAATTGAGAAATAATAAGCTAGTTTTATTTAAGAAAAGACTTGTATCGTTGAAGTTTCTCGGAAAGAATTTCTACGAAAAATTAAGAAACGAACAGTATATCTGGCAACGAGCTTGAAAGGACAACCACTGGAAATACTTGGACAGTTGTCAGCAGATGAGAGACACAACTTTTGAGCACTGATAGCTGTTCTCATACTCAGGTATGGAACCCAAAATCAGTCTGAAGTCTACAGGGCTAGGTTTAGGACTAGAGTCTGTGCTAAAGGGGAGAGCCTGCAAGAGCTGGCACAGGATTTGGTAAGTATGGCACACAAGACCTACCCAACTGCACCACCCGATGTCCTCAAGCTGTTGCTGAGGGATCAGTTTGTAGGTGCCACAACTGAAGATACAAGTGAAGCAAGCACACCCCTCTACTATGAAGGATGCAATGGCCAGAGCTCTTGAATTTGAATCCTACATTAAGTCCAGCACAGAGGTACCAAGGTTGTTATTGTCATCAGGATTCAAGGCCAGAAAAGGGCAGCTTTCAGAGAAGTTTGAGGGACTTTGCTGGCACTGTAATAAACCTGGGCACAAGAGAGCTCAATGCTAGCAACTTCAACACAGGGAAGATGTCACGGCAGGAAAGGCTGCTACCCAGAGAGGTTGTTGGAACTGTGGAGAGCAAGGACATATGAGGAGCCACTGTAAGAAGAATACCACCAATAAGTCAGCTTCGGGAAAAGAGCAGTGGTTGGTGCTGAGGGATGCCCATCAACCCCCATCGTGAAAGTCCC